CGTAAGTAATATTACATAAGAGGAACTAAAGGCATTAAAAGTGACAAATACAAAATTACATTTTGAACAATTTATAATGTTACAGAAAGACATAACGTAATTAACATAATTATTCTATAGAAGAATCATTTTAAGCTTTCATAGTTAAATCAGAAAAAGCTTCTTGCTGTTGAAAGTTTGAGTTTCTTAAAAATTAAATTACTAAAAAATCGATATTGGAGAAAGATAAATTTCTAAAAATTGTTTACCTATTATCGAAACATTATTGAAATTGATGACGGACATGAAGTGCAAGGAATGCAGAAGTAACATAATCGACTATTATTTAAAGATGATATTGTTTATTACGTGAATGATAAAAGTTCAATTATTCCAGATTCATTTGTTAAATTCAATTTGGACGGCGCAGAATGACACATTGCTTAAAAAACGTTTCTAGTATATAAATACTATAATTACAGTTACAATAATTGTTACCAAATTAATTCATATTTCTGCAACAGTTTTAAAAGTAGTGTAGTAGATAAAGGATAATTAAACATTATGGCTTCGAAATCAGACAGTTACGTATAGTAATACTTTTATAACCGCAACAATTGGCTACTGTTCTGCAGTTAATAAGAGCTGCACAATGAGTCTAATGCGTAGGACATTGCAAAGTATAATATTGTATTATTCTCGTGTAGTATAATAATTTACAAGCTTGAATCTGTCAAGCCGCAGATATACTATCGCAGTATCAACTCAGTTCCAGACAAAGATTCGGTAATTTTGTGAACAGCCCACGCACCAAATATTATTTTTGTCGAACATGACTGATTGTCGTCGATCCAATCGAAAATATTTGTGTTCAATATTATTTTTCCAGTATGACGATCGCTTCTCTTGGGACGCTTACGAGCAAGGTCTGGCGCTGGGGGCTTATTATTGGCTGCACTGGTTAACGCAGCTTCCTGGTGGGCTTTTGGCGAGACGTTACGGAACGAAGCTTGTTTATGGCTTAGGAAATTTCCTAACGGCGCTTCTCGGTTTCCTAATTCCGTTTATGACAGAGTATCATCTGAACGCGCTCATTTTTCTACGAGTTCTTCAGGGTGTGATTGCAGTGAGTCAACATAGTTATGAACAGATCAAACACTAGTGCAACCGAAATCACCTACAAACTGTTCTTGCTACCGTCACGACCAAGATAACGTGACCACAAACGTCGATCATAATTAACATTCATTTATGACCTGTCGCCTTGCAGCTTTATCTGAAATATAAAGAACTGAAATTTATCGGGCAGTCGAACAAGGGTGAAATGATTCGGGCAATACTGATAGACGTTTCTGTTTGCTTAGGGTGTCGTATGGCCTTCGATGCACGATATGACAGCTAAATGGATCCCTCAGAATGAGAGAAGCAGATTCGTCAGCTCTTATTTGGGTAAGATACGTAAATACTTCGACAGATTAAGAATTAATATAATATAACGTGTGTGAAATATAGTATGCAAATGCCATATATACAAATAAGATATTAATTAAAAGATAATATTAAAATTGCATTTTAAAACTTAATTCAAATATTTGCATTCTAAATTAATTGAAACAAAAAGGAGGTAAATTATTGTTAATGATTTTAGTGATAAATATTCCAATTAGAGAAATATAAAAATAAAATTTCTATCTCCAAAAGTAAATGATTATTCATTAATATTTCTTAAATTTTATACAATTTAAGAA